ATGGCCATTTTAGTTTGGATTCAGATCAGAAGACTTCTTTTACAGAACAAGTGAATCTAGTAGACACTGGTGGTCTATGGAAACGACATGCATGAATTTGGGGCCATCTCGCATACAGGGCTTCTAGAGCTCTTAGTAAAATGAAGATAAACACTAACCTTCTTCCTGTAGCGTATGGCTGGTTTGGGTACTGGACTAGGACTTTGTCCAGTCTCATTAGTTGTAGATTTAGAAAAAGAATGTAGAGAGGGGCAGAAAGATCCTTAAGATTCCTCCTCTCCCCCATGAGTAGAGATAGTGTTGTACCACGACAAATACTTTTTACTGTAGCTAGGTGGGTAATAGCAGATTTCTTTGGGTCACATTAAACATTCACATGATGAATAACCTGTCTCTAGGTGTACTGTCATCCACAGTCAGTTATGTGTACTATACATAGCATTTGGTTTAAAAAACAATGACATACTGCTAAAAAAATAACTCTGGGCCCAGTGTTGATTTTAAATCTCAACTTTAGTAGCAACCGAATCACAAACATGTTTAAAACATGGCTTTCAAACTAAATTGGCAACATAGAGCCATTTAGTGCCAGTGAGCTGTGATATCTTGGAATGTGAAATTGAGCTCTGGCTCCTGGTCACTTTTATCTTAGGGGTTTTCCTTGCTTCGTATTCCACTGTTGACAAGTCTTGTATTGCCTGTGTTCATAAGGTCTTGTAAACACTAGATCTCTCTTGCTCAAAAAAAAAAAAAAGGTGGCATTCTTTTGTGATGTGGACCATGGTTGTGAATAGCTTTCAGACCTTGTCTCTACTACAGAAGTGCATAGCTGTGTCTACATTGGCAAGATTTTGCGCAAAAGCATCTGCTTTTGCAAAAAATCTTACCGATGTAAACACAACCTGTGGCTATGTCTACACTGCAAGTTTTTGTGGCAGAAAATATGCTGATGAAGGGTTCATTAGCATGAGTCATGACATCATTAGCATATTTTCTGCTGTTTCTTTTTGTGCTAGATGTTTTTGCGCAAAAAGAAGCAGCAAGAAAGCCCAATGGCTAAAATGGCAAGAGAGTGTCTACACTGGCACGGATGCTTCTGCGCAAAAGCAAATCTTTTGTGCAAAGGCAAATGCCAGTAAAGACGCTCTCCTGCGCAAATACTTTTAACAGAAAAACTTGCCCGTTAAAAGTATTTGCGCAAAATCATGCCAGTGTAGACGCAGCTCATGGGTTTAATTAAGTTGATTTTTAAATTGACTTAATTAAATGGGTGCAAGTCCCTAATGTAAAATTGCTTAAAATGGTGCAAGCCCCTAAGGTAGGGGGCACACTTAGGGTTCACCCAGGTTAGCTAGATTAAATTGATTTTTAGTTAAACTGCTGTTGTGCGGACAAGGTGTTGGCCTCCCCATTCTCTTTATATTTTGTGCGAGAATTTTTAGGAGGGTGGCGTTTCCTAAGAACTGAGCTTTGGGAGACTACACTGAGCTCGTGAGGTCTACAGGGGGCAGCATAATCTGGTGGGAAGGGACACCCAAAAGCCAGTAAGAATTGGTGTTCCATTTTGTTCCCTCTGCTTTCATGGACTCGCTTTTACAATCTTGGACAAGTCCGAGTAACCACTCTGTGCCTTAGTTACCTAGCTGATGTTGGTTTAGTAATGCTTGCCCACTGTAATAAAATATGCGGAAGTCTACAAATGAAAAGCATTACATACATAGATGCTTGTTTGTTACTGTGCATGGGGGAAATGAGATACTCAAAAAGATTATGTAGCTGCATTATTCTACTAGTATCTTGGTGATGTGTCCTCTGGAGTTTTTGGGGTGTGGGTGGGGGAAGGTGTTGCTTTATTAATCCCCTCTTGTAAACCAGAATCTCTGGCAAATGGTTTTCTGTAACTATCAGTCTAGTTCCATTTGCATTTTACTTGACTTGTTAAAACACTAGACGATAATGCAAGTACTGATGTTTTTTTCAATGGGACATATTCTTCGGGTGTACCAAGTCTCTCTTCCATCATGGTAGAGGTGTTAGGGATGTGGGAAGAATGTTCCTTTTTATTTATTTATTTATGTATTTTATTTTTTAAATAGGTATTTTCAAATATCACTGGGTTTTATCATGAAAATACTAAGCTTCCAAAGATACTTTGGGCTGATATAATACCTTTCATCCCAGGATATCTGGTAAATATCTGTCTAGGGCAGTGGTTCTCAAAGTGTGGTCAACGGGCTGCTGGTGCTCTGTGACTGTCTTGCAGGTGGGCCACAGGCTCGAGGGAGGGCCCTTGTAGTGGGGAGCCTGTGCAGAGGCTCCAGCCGCACACGCATCCCCCCTCTTGTGAGGTTGGCTTCCCACTGCAGGAGGAAGCCCTGAGCTTTACAGGCCAGATCTGGGGGCGGGGGAAGGAATCAGTTCTGCATACTGCTGCTCCCCTCTCCTCCAGCTGGGGAAGCTGCTTACCTGGAGGTGGAGGCATTCCTCACTGCCTCCTGGC